CAACTCTCGCTCCTAATGTCTCTTCCCTAATGGCTAAATACAAGTAAACGAAGGAAAAAAAAAGAAGAAAAATTAGTAAATATGGTTCAAACATATTTGAATTCCAATGCTACTAAACATAAAGCACGTAATAATGAATGCATCTGTGTTTCATCAGGTAAAACCATCTGCAGGGTATATTTTAGAACAGTCATCTATCAGGAAACTGCAAAATTGGTTAATGGCGAGTAAAACATTACAACAATATCAGAATCAGGAAATGAAGTGTGACACAGAGAGCAAAATGGCAAGGAGTAAAACATTACAACAATATCAGAATCAGGAAATTAAGTGTGACACGGAAAGCGAAATCAACAAGAACTAGAAATGCAATGGTGTAAAGATGGTTGTCTGTGGAAACATATGTTGAAAAACTTAACATGCTTTGCAACTCTTCCTACAATATCCAGGAAGATCTGAAGATCCGACCATATACTCAGGATTCTTGGTGCATTCTCCGAGGGAAGCCCATCTTTCACAATTTTCATTTGCATCTGTACAGGTCCCGTTGGATCCCACAACCTTGTCGAAATAATCTACATGAATCCACTTTGTCGCGGACCACTTCTCGCCTTCAATTACAGGACAACCCGCATGGAGACTGGTAGGGTCAGGAACTGCGTCTGGATAAAGACTGAAGAAAAGAAGAGCATCCCCTTTCCGTGGCTTCACTTTAATATTTTCAATATAAAAGAAGACGACGAGCAAGTTAACATTCTGATGATGTGGCATACAGAATCTATTGAAATGATTAAGATGATATTTGATATCTCACCTGCAATGCCTTTCCTTCCACACACTGATAAATCTTCATCGACTGAAACAGACCTGCGATGAGATGTCTCCTGAACAGTTGTGTGAATAGTCACGAATAAGGAAAATGAAACCATCAAAAAGTAGGGAGGGCACAACAATTATTAATTCAGAGAATAAACTTTTAGTCATGTTCTGTGACAAGTAGGAATTTCTGAGTGAATGTTCTTGTAATTCCCTCCCGAGAATCTGCTAAAACTGAGAGCATGATTGACCAATGCTTGATCAGTTTCACTAGAAATCATCATTCATAAAACCATAATCATCTCACACATCAAATAAAAACTGA